CTCTCTCTCTCTCTCTCTCTCTCTCTCTCTCTCTCTCTCTCAAATAAATAAAAAATAAAAAAAAAAAATGTTCTGCCTTGCATCCAGTACTAAGAAAAATAGCTACCTGTAACATTACAAAGCTGTTGACTTTCTGAGCTTACATATTTGTTGCATGCTCTGCAAAATCCTTACTTAGAATAAGTAGCCCTGAAGCCCTTGAAAGGGAAAAATTATGGATTACTTTGCTTTATTAACAGCTATCTGAATTATTTACAAAATAATTATAAACCTCAGTTGTTTAGTGGTATGTCTCCAATATTAAAATTTTTGAGATTCATTTTCATTAGTCCACACTTGTGAAAGCCAAGGCTTTGGACTTTATGCTTCTCTTTATGCATAAACTATAACAAGAAATTTATCCAACATGTAAATATCACACAGGTATTATTATTATTATTATTATTATTATTATTATTTTGGTGGAACTTGGAATTGAACTCAGGCCCTTGCACTTGCCAGGGAAGTGCTTATTCCACTGAGCCATCTCCCTGGCCCCTCACACAGGTATTATTTTTTTTCCCCATAATTAATTATTGAGAGACAAATAGCAATGAGACAGTTTCAAATCAAACTGGTATGACAGTTTCAATAAGTAACACATTGCATACTCTCTTCCTAGTGGTTATTTGCTGTACAAGATGCAGACATGATATCCTATTTACAAACACTATTACAACAAATCCCCCTATTCATTAAGAGAATGTAACTATATATCTATCCTAACCATTTTGAATACACAGATACAAAATGGACATTCATGTGTATCCCCTTTTTTGTTTAGTTCTGTCATTTGAATATTATAGGTGTGTAAACTCAGCAAAATATTCTAAGAGTCCAGTAGTCCATAATAGTATTGGGTTTTCCTCTTGATTGGCAGTGTCAGAAATTGCTGACCTGAGTCCCCTATAGCTCAACATAACACCATGGACGAGGTATTATTATTTAAAGGATCCTAGAGTAAGTACTCCTAGAAAATTCTTATTTACAACTTTCTATGTGTTTTTTTAAGTAATACTCACATCCTATCTCAATTTCATAGGACCCAACTGCATTTGGAAGGATGCCAAAAAACAAACTACCAGGTTTTCAACTGGAACTGACCTGCCGAGGGAGGAGCCAACAAGGCAATGTCTCACCCGCAAGCCCCTTGGCAAGCATTAAGGAACAGCTTACCCTAATGTGTCCAAGGCTAAGCTATCCAGGAATGCTCCTCCACTTTGTTTGTCAATAAACTCATTAATCTCACAGTGGCAGGTACTGTTTCTTTGCTCAGTGGTCCAAAAATCACACCTAATTCCAACCTCTTCCCAGCTTCCAGACATGAGGAACACTAGGCAGCAACTTGACTTCCCTCTAGATCCTACTCCCTCCCTAGCTGTCCGCCTTGCAGCCAGACATGTCTTTCTATCACCATCACTGTGCTTGACAGCACCAATGTGCAATCCACCAGAACCTCCAAAACATGTAGCTATAGTCCCTTCTCCACTGCTGGTGTCTCTGTTATCTCTCCCTAAACTACTACATCCCACCATTCACCCTCATCTCTTTCTATGCATGCTTTACAATGGCCAGTTATCTACTTATTTTCACAAAAATCATGTCATCTCCACGTAACATCTCTCCCCTGGTAAAAAAAAAAAAATCCCAAAGTCATCAATTTGCCATAAAGACAGAAAGACTCTGGCCCCAAATGGCCAACACCCTCAGCTTGTGCGCCTCACACCCACTGTACTCCAGGTACTTGTTCCCGCCTGGCAGGGCTCCTGCCCTCTCTACTTTCCTCATCTGACTCTTCAGCAGGTAACTGCCATCTCAGAGTCTTCCCCTCAGAGTAGCTGATCTTCCCAGATTCTCTGCCTCCCACTGTCACACCAAGCATCACTGCTACCTGTATCCTTTTTCATTTTTCTTCTACTGGCCATGATCTTTAATTATACATTTGTAGTGCTTAAGTTATATTTGGGTATTTTTTTTCCTTCCTAAGACTCTGGTAGCTGAAAATAGAGACAAACCTGTGATTTACCATCATGCTCCTAGCGCCCAGCATTGTCCCGCTCACACTGACGCAACAGCGTTGGGGATGCCAGATCATACACATGAATGCCCGCACCAGTAGCTGCTCACCACTCTTCCAAGATGCATATTCATTAATTTAACTAATCTTTATAACACCTTTGAAGCAAGCCCTGTCATGTTCCCAATTTCTGGGTGAGGAAAGTAAGGCACAGAGGTGCTAGATACTTCTTCCAAGGGCGTAGACTGAGGGTAGGAATGTGGGAGCTGTCAGGCCTCAAGATACTCTGAATGAGTAGGTGAACTAGTTATAAAGCAGCAGAGGGGTGACATCCCTCGACCATACCTTTTCTCATTCCACCAAAGGGGTCCTTGTTGGGTTCATAGGGCATCCTGCCCATCATGTCTGGCATGCTCATGCCCTGCTGGTATGGGGCATTTGGAGTCATAGAATTCCTTTTGGGGAATGTTGAATCACTCACATCTGAGAATGGGTCATGCACACTGATTGTACTGCTTCTGAAGAGATAAAAAATGAAAGCTTAATGATATAGCAGGAGTTACCTCCTAAAATACTAGAAAGTAAACCAGTCTCCCAATTTATAAATGTAAAAGTCATTCAAAATAAATTCCACAAGCAAAACTAGTACTGATCAATATTTAAAAACTCACTGGGGAAAGTCACTTTTATTTTCTATGAAGTTTGCTCCCAAACAATCAAAAGACAATACAAATCGGATTTTGCATGGCTTATGGAGTTCTCTGAACATACCTTCCACCTTGCATTGGGGCAATCTGTCCATGAGGGGTAGAAGCTGGGGTAGGTGGCTTCAGGTCACCTGGAACCTCTGCCATGGAGTTGCTGCCTGTTGACTGTGGCGTCTGTGGGCCTTGTAAGGATCCTGAGTTAGCTGAAATGATCAAGAGAAAGGGGTGGGAGAAAAATAATAAAAAGCTGTTAGGCATTGAAACCTTTATTCCAGTGTTGTCTATACTGGAGATATTCAATGTAAATAATGAGGATGGAATTTTTGGTACCTCAATTAATGGACAGTATAATTACTGTACTCTTTTAGAAAAAAATTATAAAACTTAGCCCCTAGTCTTGGGCAATGAGAAATGCATAATTAAAAAGCAACAATACACATTAATAATGCACCTTATGTCATTTTAATACCATCCAAAACCTGGATGTCTACTGTCTATTCTCTCAGGCCACCTCTCTCCTTTCGGCTTCCACTCCCCCGCCACCACTGCTGTACTGGGGATCGATCTTAGCTTCTTGCGCATGGTAGGGAAGCACTCTACCACTGAGATACTGAGATACATCCATAGCCTTAACATGCTTGTTTTTAGAGCTAGGATCAGATTTGTTATTAAAAAACACAAGTCATACTGGGTTTGAGATGTTAATATGTCTGTTTGCTTTGAGATTTTGCTTTAACTATCATTACATTATAATAACACAGATTAGAATTGAGCAGTTTTTTCAAAACTCAAGTGGGACTCTTAAAAAATTGATTAACTTTGTAAAACAATGTATTTTGTGATCTTCTAGCATAGTCCTTAGTATGTGAGTTGTGTAAAACTTACTTGCTTGGTTTATTGGTTAAACAAGTACCTACTGAAGGAGTAATGGACCTATTGTATTTCAGGCTCCTTTCTAATAGCTAGATAGGCAAGTTCCACAAACTAACAAGATGAGAGCCTCTACCCTCATGGGGAACACAAATAACACATTTAGAACTGCAACCAACATAGAATTATTGCTAATAAAGATTATAACATTACCATATTACTGGTTATACTTCCTTTTCTCTGAAGTGCTCAAGTCTCACTAAATTAACCCTATTCACATTTTACCTCAGAGGAGATGGAGGTTAAACAAATTCTACATTATGAACTGTGGAGTCAGAAATGGAAATGAGTATCACATTTACTTAGAAAGTCTGTCAGATACAGACATTTCCGACATTTCCAGCTAGATCAGGGCTGCTGGTCTTTGCTCTGATGTGTGACACTGTGTGCTTGAGACTGGGACACTCAAGGAAATTCTGACATGTGTGAAATACTAATGCAGGTATTTCAGAACTAATGCCTGCTTATATACCAAACTTCGGTGAAAACCCAAAAACACACGTTAAGAAAGTAGACTATGATAAAAGAATAAAGTAGCCTATTATAAATACGTAAGGGTATGCAGACATGATGGCCCATACAGTGCTGCAGATGAAAAACTATTTCCTTCTTAAATCAGGCACAGACTCCACATCAGCCTGGATAGCTTCCCTGGAAACATGACTTATGAGACTGATTTCAGAATGGCCCTTATTTACAAGTATTCACATTTACAGTTAATAAAAAAAAAAGTTCTCTTTTGCTAGTGTTTTTCTTTTCCTTTCAGGAAAAAGAATGAATTCAACTTCTTGCAACTCCATTACTAGAGAAGGTTGGCACTGCTCTCTCAGACATCCCTACCTTTTGCCAGAAGCTACAAATGTATACTCTAAAGTAAACAATAGAAAGGTTACTTAAGGTTAAGTACATTCACACACTTCAGACAGAAGAGCCAGGCTCCTAGCTGGGATCATAATTTATACAACATGAACCTGGTGCCCTAGTTGTGGCCGGCAGTGGTGTACAGTGGTGTAGGGGTGTGGGGGAGAAGGCTGAAGGGAACAGCTGATGTGTCCCAGCACGAGTGACTAGAGGTCAATCAGAGGGCACCTCTGTTTATATCCGACCCTCTTTCTCATTTATCTTCCACTGAGGATTCCCTAGTTGGATTCATGACAGCTCTTGTGACATCATCTGTCAGCTAATAATAGAAATTCAGTCAGCCACCTGTCAGCTAAGATGGATGGGTTTTTGGTTACAGACTTACTAATTTGAAGTGGAGCTTCCTTGTCCCTCCCTGCCTTTCTCCTCCCAGGTGGCCTCTGAGATCCCTCTTCCCTACAGTGTGCACAGCCACCTAGAGGGGTAATTTCTAGATTGGAACTCTTCACAACTCCTACAGGTTCGGTGTGAGGAGATCCCACAGATGCTTTAGACATGTAGCTCATACCCCAAGGCCTAGCTAGATTCCTTTTGTTGCTCCTGGAGGCTCAGTGTGCCTCTACAACGTGGCCCCAAAGATGAAGGACTTCAGGTCTCTAGCAATTAGCCTGGAGCCAGAGGAGCCATGTCAAATCAAAACCAGACCAGTGACCCATGATTCGTGGTGCTCTTAGCCAAGTGATTTAGGAATTTATTGGTTCAAAAATCACTAGAAAAAAATTCATAATGCTTCTTATAAATCTTTTTAGCTTGCTTGAATGTGCTAGTAAGGAACATATTATAACATTTTTAAGGTAAAAATGACTTCAAAAAACATGTACTTTTGATGGAAATTAGTTTAAAAAGATTATATAATCAGATCCTGACATGGAAAACAATAATTTATTTTTTGGTTTTGACAATAAAAATGATTCAGAGACACTTGCCTCAATGACAGTCCAAAAATGAGAGAAGCCCCTGTTGTGTGCATGGGGTGAAGGTCTGGCTCTGGACTACAGGGACACTGATGTGTGCTACCCACCCTCTGGTTTCCGTGAGGTCTGGAGCACTCTGCAGGGGGCTCTCCAGGTCGGACACTGACTTCACTGTCAAGACCAAGAGAAACTGTTTCTACTACCTCCTATGTGACAGGAAGGACCATGGCTCCATCTGGACCAAGAAGTGCATAAGCAATGCAATCTCTTTTGTGCCATTAAAATGATAATCTTGCCATAAAGGCAGCAGTTCAGAAAAGGGGGAGAGGAAAGAGCCAGCTATTAGGAGAACAAGGCCTCTGCTTTCTGGAGGATCTGTGCCTCAGCAGGGCTTCCTGTACCAGGGCTGAGGCACGCTGTGAGAGCTATTCTCTATGCACAACTGCAGACCATTCAGGGACACAAGTTCTTTCCTGGCAAATAAAATACACCCTTAGATCTTTGCAGATATCACCACTTTGGTCCCTACACCCCACTGGGTTTTTATTTTGGAAAAATAGCTTCAGAGCTGTTCACAGGCAGCTTCTTTCATTCTGTGAACTGAATATAATGTGTGATTTTAAAAATTCTATTTCTCAGTTTTTCAGGTACACCCTAAGTGGCAAAGACTTAGAATCCTGAAGGGTGGTGTTAGTGTGGAGGATTTCTCTCTGTACTCGGAATTTATAGGTCTAAAGTTAGGTGTATTCACTGCAAGTGTACTTTGGGCATAAATATATTTACATGAGCCACTCTGATTGACAAGGGCTGTTTGTTAACTGAGACAACACCTAGAGGAAACCATTAAAAGGGAAATGACTTACTTTTCTGGCTTCTAGGCATAAACACCTGATCTGTCATAAAAGCTTTTCCACACAGGACCAGTGGCCAGACATAGACAGAGAATGGAGGGATTTACCCACATTAACTCACAATGACAAACTAAGGATAATGCCAGTTTACTACTTTAACTAGTATCAGTTTTTAGGATATATGACTGAGTAATTTCTAATTTGAAATCCTAATACAACAAAGACCAGCAGGAAAGTCATAAGGAATGACAGGTCTCTGAGAGGCAGGGAGACACAAACAGCATTTGGCAGTGCCTGTGGGCACAGAGGTGTAAACTGCAAGGCTTGTGACTCTGGTCTGGGCCACAACTGATTGGAATTTCAGAAACAGGATACAGGCATCTCTACCATGGCAGCTCATAGAATTCCCTCGGTGAGAACTGCTTGGTAGGGGACATAAAAACTAAGTCCAAATTTTGTTTTGCTAAAATATATAGCTAAGTGTCACGGGCTGAGGAAGAGCTGATACAACCTACCTGTTGGGCCTATAGGATGGCACTGTCCAGTTAAATGGAATATTCAAAATATTCAAAAATAAAGAAATAAAGGCATATAGCTCAGAATCCAAAGTGTAATTTGATTAAATAAGACAAGGAAAAGATAGTGCCTTCAAAGTGCTGACTGCAAGTAGCAATATCCCCAATTTATTTATTTTCTCTTAAAGCACTTCCAAGGGGTGGCAGTCCACTCACACAACACAGTGAGACCTCATTTCCTCTGGAAAATCCGAAGTCCTCTCTTAGCTCTACTTCTCTGCCTTTCCTGCACAGCTGGCCAGCCTCCGGCTCCTGTCATGTGCTGCCTTTGGCTCCCCTTGGCCCAGCTGTAGCACTGCCACTTACCAGGAGATGGCGGCTGAAGCTTGGGCTGCTTCTTTGTGTCTCCAGTGCTGAAGACTTCTGGTGGGGGCTCCTCCCCTCTTTCAATCTTGCACTCAAAGGCAAACAGGTACTGAATATACTGCTTTTTCAGGGAGCTTGCTGCGCTGCTTGAAGTACCAACATTTAGGTTGGTTGCCAGCTCACGCCACTTCTTGTTTTTATTAACCTAGAAAAAAAAAAAAAAAGGGCAGGATCACTGGTTTGCAGCAAAATGGCTTGTTTAAAGCCAGGAGACAAAAGAACACTTAATGTCTTGGTTTACTTTTTTCATTTGCCTCTTTTAACTAATGTTCATTATTCCCACTCAGTAGTGCACAGACAGCACTCACAGTAATAAAGTCATTAGGGAACCTGCTGATCACTACAGAAAGGCACTCTTGCCAGTCTTCTGAGGGGTGCATCTCCTAGCGCCTCACACAGGCTCTTCTTGAGCTGCTCCTTGAGCAAATGAATACACCCATTAATACTCATTCATATCCCACGACTAATGAAGAAAAAGGTCTAAAAACTAATTTAGAGAGCAACAGCTGCCCTCCTTTGCAGTTTAAGTGTTTGAACACTGATAGGAAATCAATGCTCCCTCCCATCAGCTCTCAGGTGGGCTGTAGCACTGGTTTGTCCTCTCCCTGGAGCAGGGGTGGTGAACCAATGGTACATGTGCGGAGGCAGGATTAGCAGCACTAAAAACTTAAAAGGTTCAACACAATTGCTCTAGCAGCTTCTTGTGGCAAAGGCAGAGGTGGCCCTGAAGCAAAGGTCCATGAGATTCCTTCACCAAATGCTGCCAACTTAAAATCCCAACACAGTGCCATCACTCCCTACAGGGGCTGCTTTTCCACTACTTCAGCAGCCAGGGGAGGGCACAAATGTTTATTGTGTGTGTGTTGTTCAATACTATCCAGTATCTGAATCTACTCAGGCTAGAGATGCCACCACTGCAAAGGTGAGGAAGTAAAGAGGTGAGCGGGATCCAGAAATGTTACATAAAGATTTGGGATATGATTTCAGCCTTTTTATTCCTTCTTGGGAACAGGTTATGAAAGGTTAAACACATGAATGAAACATGAAGATGTGCAGATAACATGTGGAAGGCTGTGCCCACTGATGCCTGCTTTGTGGCCTAACAAGATAATGGTTAAAGGGACAGTGATTCAAACTTTTTCACAAAGCTTTTTAAATTTATTTAGACTAAATGGTACATAATAAACAAGTCACGGAATGCTCAAGGACACATCTCTCTTGGCTCTTAATACTAAGCTGCGAAGAATATGCCTGGGGCTTGCTCAGAGGTGGCAAACACACTGCTTGGCACACCATGAGAAGCAAGGCTTTGAGCTCATCTGAGTATGGGTGCAGCAATCTGCTCTCAAGTATATCTACTGCCCCCTCAGTAGAAAGAGAAATAAGATGTGTGATACTGCCTCCCAAGTGCACCAGCTACATGCAGGGCAGCCAGATTTTTATCTATAGACTTGACTTGGTAATATATGCTGCTGGGGCAGGTAACTGGATAACAGCTATACTACAGTGGCCTGATGAATGGCATCTAACTGTGTCATACGCTTGCTGATTTTAAAGTCTCTGTCTCAAGAGGAGGTGCAGGGGAGTTCAAGAGCTGAGGGAGGAAGTGGGAAGTTCAGGTGTGGGCCAAGATGTATGATTGGGTCATGCCCTTTGCTGATGACCACTCACATGAGGTCTGCATCACAAAATTTCACATATAATTATGCTGATTCCTGGAGTTAGTTTATGATATAGGCCTCAGTTCTCCCATGCGATGGTTAGTATCTACATGAAGGGCTCACAATCCCTCCTGAAAGACCCAGAAGTGCTGCACTGAGTAATGGTAGGCCTCCAGTGATACTTTTGAGTGAAAGGACTCATCTCGACTAGTAAGTGACTTCTACAATCTTGCTGGGTACCAGGTGCCTAATTCTGCCTATTCTTAGGGCCCCAGACTACTTTGATGTGGGTGTGAAGTAAGGAGGACAGCTTAAAAAATTCACCCAGGTGATTTTTACACACAATTAATATATAAAACTACTGGGAGATGGAAAGATGACATGTTTTGGATTCAGAAAGACCCGGCCCAGCTACTTACCACATGAATGTCCTTGGGCCACTACACTACTGAACCACCAAGAGTCTCCTTATCTATTCTTTGCAGGTACACAAAAAGTAAAGACCACAGTAAGATACCAATGCAATGATGGTTCCATTATCTGTTTCTATGTCAAGACACATCCCTGCCAACTACACTCCTTATTAAAAAACAGCAGGGTTAGGGTAAGCAAAGTGGCATGCCCAGGGCATGAGATCTTGGGGATACTCTGAGAGCTATGCAAGCACCAGTGGGCATGTGCACAACCCATACTGAGCAGCTCCATGAATGCTGCATGTAGGTGCTTCTCCCACCACCCTGACTCTAGTCCAAGCCTTGCTGAAAATCAGAGCACGGGCCTTCTTCCTGCTCAGGAATTAAGGATATGGCTTCACTAGCGTGATTTAAGTTCTTTTAGTAAGTTTTCTGGATAGAAGGAAAAAGTGAATTTAATTTACATATGATCCAGATAATTAATTCATTCACTTATCAAATATTTCTGCTTTCTACAAACTCATAGCAGATACTAGAGGATTCTAGAGCTGCCAGAGAACTTAAAGAAAAATCTAGTGTAACTGTCTGATTTTTCAGATAAAGAAACTGGGGTCCAAATAAATGACCTGTTGTCATAACATTGGAATTGGTGGCAGAGCTAGGGTCCTCAATTTTTTCTTCTTCTAACACACATATACAGGTCTCATTAAGGTGATTATCCACAGGTTTTGCTTTTCCTTCATGAGAAAAAAACTTGACTGTATGTAGTACAAAACAAAAAACAAAACAAAATGTAATGCCTGCTATAAGAGTCTATCTGTAACAATGTCTTCTTTATTCACCTATTCTTACCTGTGCCAAGCCTCCAATCTCTTTGACACAAACATAGAGTCTGAACAGATCCAGGGGCTTTTTGCCCACTGCGGGCAGACTGGAGACAGGGGAGCCCCTCTCTTCCATGAAAGTCAGGTATCGGTCGACCCACAGCTTCCTTTCTGGCTCATTCCCCAGCTCATACACCTTTGTGATCTTCTCCCCTGTGGTGGTGGATGAGCTGGACTTCTGGTGCCAAAAGGAGCATGTGGTCATGGGGGATGAAGGGTAGGGGGAAGGGAAGAAGGTGAGAAAAAAGCAATGAGCTAATAAATATAAGAAGATTATAAAGCTACTGCTATCACACAACAATTAGGAATGAAGGCTACTAGTTCAGGCACAAACTATACATTTTCTTAATTAAAAATTTACTTTTGACTTTTAAATAAAAAGGCCCAAACTCCCCCTTTTTAGACACTTAAAACACTAAAGCAAAAATAAACAGTCTTCTTAACTTTGACCTAAGCATTGAATCCCAGAAGGCAAGATTCCAATTAAGTCTTGTGTAATTTTTAAAAACAAAATGGTGCTAACTCAGAGAATGGTTAAAGTGAATCAAAAATTTCACATGTAATATCATAGGGCTTCCAAGCTAACTGCACTCCTAATTTTTCTTGTCAAAACAAGAATAGCTAATGTGTGTCTTCATGAAAATTTTAACATATAGTGCTTGCTGAAAAATATAATGTGGGTTGCAAGGCAGAGCAACCATGGTATAGCCCCAAACTTATTGGAGAGCTTTACAAATAAATGGATGGTCAAAGCTTTGGGACTTGATAACTAGCTTTCAGTACTCATAATTCCCTATACTTCTTTGTCAAAGTAAGGTATTATTAAATTATTAGAATAGCCTTTTAAAAACATATTGCTTTGGAATCTATGCTCAAATTACTTACTGATCACATTCTCAGCACATCTATGGATAAATATATACATTTACTTTTATGTATATGTGTTGATGTGTGCCTGCTGCTCATACGGGTACTGTAATTCTCAGTCTTTGATGTACCTGATTATATGACACTAAAACATTACCCAGAGTCAATCCTCTGGATTATATCATCTCCACAGGTAACTCAGATCTAAATAGCCTGATTGTATTTCTTTCTCATCTTTTCTCTATCTGTGTATATATTTGTAATATTTGCAATATAGAGCTCACTGTGCAAAATCACTGCTAAATCCTCAATAAATATCTCCTTGGGCCAGGGATATAGCTCAGCTCAGTGCCATAAGTACCTTCCTGGTAATTGCAAGAGCTACTATTTTAGGCAGAGATTTTTAATTTTTCCTTTTATTTTTCTTAATTTAGCATGGTATAACTTAAAGCATACATTTCAAATCCAGGGGCTTGAGTAACCTGATGACCACTGTGGTTAGATGTCTCTCAAAGTGATCCCCAGTAAAAGCCAGGCCCTAAGAAAGGACACCTACAGATACAGCTCTCAGAGCTGCTAGAGTAGCCACTTTCCCTCTAACAGGCCATACTCCAAAGCCATTTTAGTTGAACATTGGGCCTTTGGCTTTAAAATCACTAAGCCATAAAATCTATACATAAAAGATTAAAAAAAGGTTGATACAGTTGTTTAAAATAAAGAATGTTTTTAAAAAAATGTATTTAGTACAGGATCTACAGGGTCTCACTACACAGATTGGACTCATAGCGATCTTCCTGTTTTCAGCCTCCCAAGTGCTGGGATTACAGGTGTGCACCACCATGCCCAGTCTCAGTTGCTGTCTCAGTGTGGATTGGGGGGTGGGGCTGGCACTGCTCGCCGGGGATCAAACCAGTTCCCTGTCCCTTCCTAAGCAGGCGCTTTAGTCTGCTGAGCTATCTGGCCAGCCCTAGAAATGTTTAAAAAATAGTATAATCTTTTAGAACTATGGTATTAAGGTTAAACAAATCACATAGAAATTACCTTAGATAAAAATAAAAAAAATATATATTTAATATTTGTGTTTATATATAATATATACATTCAGAGGCTGAAGATATGGCTCAGTGGCATAAACATCTGCCTGGAAAGTGCAAGGTCCCTAGTTCAATCACCAGGACCAAAGAAGGAAAAAAAGAAAAAGAACAATATACACATTCAGAATATATAAAACATTATATATCCAAATGATAAGTCTTTAAAATTCATTTTTCATACTTTTTTAAATCTAAGGATTGAGTAGGAACGGAAACTGAACATGACACTGTTCCTACACTGTAACACTGTATCTTTAACAAGATGGTTATTACAAGGTAAGTGTCAGTATTGAATTTTTTTGGGTGGTTACACCAAAAAAGGGGGGATACACTTCTCAAATATCAAAATTTGAAATATGAACATCAGGGAAAAACACTATCTGCAACAATCTGTGATACAAAAGAATCTTTCATTTTACTTGTGAATAACCAGGTGGGAAAGTTTAAGATTCAATTTAAGGATAAGAGGAATAAAATAATCACTGCAGTTTTAAATTACTCCAACTAGCTCTTCCAATACACTGTGTAAGGTCCAGCTGTCATTTCTGGCCTGGTCCTCTCTATGCTCAAACTGGGGAAGGCGTCAGGATGAATCGCTAATCAAGCATAAAGGAATAAGGTGAAGAAATGTTGGCTTCTGCTTTTGAAAGGAGAAAATTCTTGTAACTGAAATAGGCCTAGATAATGCTTTACTTGTCTGTCTACAGTTTAACTTTTTCCATCTTCATTAACTTGTGCTATCTCAAATCTAAAATTAGAAAAAAATGAAGATGATACTTAATAGTTTGATTGAATAATTTTAAGATCTTCCATGAAGCATTTTTTATGGCACTGTAATGTAGGAAAATGCCTGTGTCCATAATGGAAGTGGTCAGGCTTTTGTATAAGCCCTGTAAAATCCTGACCTAGGTCTTAAACCACCATCTCACTTTTTCTTTTCTTTGTAGCACTTTACTACACTTGATCTTAGCCAAAAGGCCGAGAAGCGATCTTTGTAGCACTTTATTACATAGTGTGTAAAACTGTGTTTTGCAGGTAGTTATTTGATATTCACTCTTTCTACTAGTCTTGAAGTTCCTCCTAGTTCTGAGCTGTTCACTCTTAGCACAGTGTCCTGCACTGATGGCCCTCCATAGGTATTTGTTCTATCAATATCCAAACAGATAAAAAAGCATGGACATGTCTGCAGCATTCAAATAAGAACCAACAGCTGGTTCAAAACTCCTACATGCAGTATGTCAAAGAGCAAGTGTGATGTGAATATGGAGGCAACATAAGCCTGCAGGCTGAAACAGAGTCTGCTCACTGTTAGCATCTTTCACTCCCAGGTCCAAGGGCAGTTCATGAGCCAAATTACTATCAGGCAGGATTTAGGTGTTTGAACAGAGAAAAAGAACATGAGGAGAAACAAGAGGCTCTTGCATGTACATCAACATGCTCCTCATTGAGTGGGCTCAACTCATTCCTGACTAGTCTCTCTAGATAGTAGCCAAGAAAAATCATATAGGTGAAAAGTCTTTACCCACTGAAAAACAGGCAAGCAATTAACCCTGATAAAGACTTCTGGGCAACTTTTCTGGGTGACTAAGGACTATCTAGTACTGCTTCAGTATTGCAAAAACTGTGTCCTACTGTTCTGAAACTTATGGAGGCAGAAAAGGAATGGAAAATGCAGAAAGATTTCAGCAAGACAGTCTTATGGAGCCATAAATGTTTTCCTTACATATATTTAATTAAACTTAAAAGTAAGTTTTCCCAAGCCTTTTAGGCAGATTTACATTTCGCAGTTTTTACCATGTGCATATATATATATATATATATATATATATATGGACAAAAAAGTTTATTTTTATTTTAGAATGTTTTGTAACAAAACAATATTGGTCTATAGCACACTGTCAAAGCAACTGCAGCTTTTGTATTTTCTCTATTTCAGGCCTGCTGTTAGAAAGGCTTTATTAAGGACACTATTAAGAGCAATTTTGAGAAGCACAAATTGCAGTGGTATCTCAGAAAGAACAAGTATTTCTGAATTGCATGTATTTGCAGTGATCTGATAGCACAGATGATATTAAGTCCTTCATTACACTCTCTTTTTGTCTCTTTCCTGAATTATCATCTCATTAAAAGAAAAAGTCACCATGTTCACAATATATAGCTAGAGTTTAACCTCTCCCACTTTGGCAAAGCCAGCTTCTCTTGTCCTTATCTAACACTACAGCTATACATTTGCTTATAATTCTCAAATAAAAAAAATCATGGTACAGGAAGAGAGGATGTAGGTAGAAATACTTTAAAAATGAATGTGCAATTTCAAGTGTAATTGTATTATAATCAGAAAATGCGGTCAACAATTTGGTTTGCTTAAGACAAGAATTTCCTACAGCACTCACTAGAGACAATCTGTGTAGCAAGTTAAGAGTACAATACTCATCTCAGTGATTCTTTATAATTCTGAGATCAGTAAGATGAACATATAACAAGATTTAGTAGCAGTTTTTGTTTTTAGTAAGTAATCATTCTTAATTATCATCTTAAATTTTAAAGATTAGTATTTTCAATCTCTGAAGTTGTCCCTCAGCCAACATACAAATGTTTTTGGAAAGCTATCTGATTTCTACTTGATTCAAAATGTTTTTGCCTGTTATAGAGAAAGTAAGTAAGTAAGTAAGTAAGTAAGTAAGTAAATAAGTAAGTCAGGGTTGGTAATGGGAAGAACTGCACAAAATTGGCTGCCTTCTGAGACTCAAAGCAAATAATACAAAGCAATCCAAAGGAAGTGCCCTGGTTCTCCTTCCCCCTCGCTCTGCTCCACTCAGGGTGGCAAAGCTGAAATACATCTACAGGGCAGGCAAGAATGCAGGGCACCAATCCTTCCTCTGAAAAGGAAAAGGGCTGGTTACACCAGAGCTTCATGCAAACTTCACAAACATTTACTAGAACAACCAATTCTTCAAACCATCAAACTCTTTCTGTCTAACCCAGTGAATGGATAAGTAACAGCAGCCTCTTTTTGGATTTTGACTAGATTGCCAGATCTTGCACAGTGAGGGTCTTCTTCCCTCCTACTCACTTTGCCTGAGCTGTGCTCTTCAATACATCCTCTTACAAAAATTACCGTGTTAATTAAGCCTTCTTGGCAACTAACTGCATGCTAAGGTTTTTAAAAAATATCTTTTGGTTTCCTATATGAATATAAAATAAAAGTTACTACTATATATTACTTATTTTTTTTAAATGGCACAGAACTTCTTAACTAGGAAAATAAAGGCCTAACTCTAAGATCAGAAGAACATTAAGGTTTAAATATATCTGATATGTACATGAGCATTTCAGTTACTTAGATATCATATGAAAATCAACACTTTTTTTCAAGAATACCAGCGGTCTTGTGCAGAACACCGTTTCTCTTTTTCAACTGACTCCAATGTAGTTACACTCTATTAATCTTAACATTTACATGCGCTAATATTTCTATAACTTCATTGTTAATTTCAGACATATTATCCCAAAATGCAACAGGCTTATGTCATGCTAAAACATACCCAGATTTTGTAACATTTACACATTTGTTTTAGGCATAGTTTAAAATAAGATGCTTTAGATGGAACAGCCCATGACAAACAAGTCAGGGGACAAATGTGTCATTTAGTCCACAACTATAATTATATCCCATGTAATCAGAGAAATAAATCATTTGAAGGGTCCTCCGTGACTTTTTTTTTTTTTTTTTCTCAGAACCGGGGATCGAACTCTGGCCCTTGCGCTTGCCAGGGAAGCGCTTATCCACTGAGCCGTCTCCCCGGCCCTCTGTGAGTGTACATTTTATCTCTGTGTGGAGGACTCTGGGCCCAGCACCAACAGTGCATTTTTTTTTTTTTAACAGAGATGCTTCTTCATCACATAGCAGCTGTCATTACCAGAAGTCAACTTCTACAATGCACACAAACTCTACTCATTTTGTTACTAATGCAATTATATATAAAGAAAACTTTTTCATAGATTAATAATGAAGAAAAAGTCTCATAAAACAAATCAACAAGCAAGCATTAAAGTAGAATTAATTAATTATCCAAAAACCTCCCCCCCAAAAAAACAAAAAAGTAAAAAACAACCAGAGCCACTTACAGGGCTTGATGGAGTCTTTGGCCAGCCTGGGCTGCTAATGCTATCGCTCTCATCTCCATGAAAGGAGGAGATGCTAGCAGAGCTGGGGGACATTGGGGAAGGGACTGGCAGGTTGCCTGGGGTTGGGGGCTGAGAAATACCCTGAGAGCTGTAGCTATCCTGTGGTAGAGGAATAAAAAAAAAAAAAAGACAAAGGTAGGGCAAACTTTATTTAAAATAACAAAAAATACATCCA